GTTGCTGGGTGGTAGACCATCGGCGGTGTAAAGATCTTCATCGGCTGGATTAGGTACAGATGGTCCAGTACTGCCCCTTGCTGCGGCCGATGATGACGATGATGATGATGCTTGGAAATCCGGAGGCTGACTGGGAAGAAGTCTCTGTTCTGCTCTCCTAAGTTGTTCTTTTTCACTGAGTTCTGTTTGTCCTTCAGTTTCTGGTGGTGGAACGTATATTTGTGTATGTGATGGCGGTGGGTATCTAGAATGTTGATCGGCACGCTGTTCAAAGTTTTGATTATATTCATAAGGGTATGGTTCGTCGTAATTCGGGTCGTAATATTGATAAGGATGATTGGGGTATTGCGTATTTTCTTGGTGTATATACTCGTGGTCGAAAGGCTCTTCATGCATGAGATTTTGCGCTGGAGAAGGTGTGACTGGCCTCGAGTTTGAGAATTCAGCTGGTTGTTTACCGGTATGCCTTGCTTTGTTTCGAGCACTGTCCGTAGTCCCAACAACAACTTCGAAAACACAGGCAACCACGCTCTTTTCTCGCCTGATGTGATCCGTATCGACAATGCTACCTCCAAAAGCAGCTAACATGCTGGCATTCCCTTCTGATCTATTACCTGTGCTTCCATAGGCGGCAGGTAAGCTGACGGTTCCAATGCGTGGTACGTGTCGTTGTTGGCCGGCTAATTTCCCTCCCAGATCAACTACAACTTCAACTTGGTATTTGAAGTTTACCATCTGGCCAGGCACGCCACTTATAGTTGGGAAGCAGTCCTCGGGAACTCTGATAGATGCTGTGACGTGCGACGTCAGTGTTGAAGGGTCGACAATGAGTGGCGCAAATGTCTGCGATAGATCTTTTCGAAAGACACTAGTCGATCCAGCGGAACTTAGTGACAGACCACCTAAGCCAGTCTTAGATTTAGGATAATATTCTTCATGCTTAAGCCTTTCCGCTTCTTTCCCTTTGATATCCTTGAACAGTGATAGTGGAGGCGAAGAATCTATTCGGCCTTGTCTATAAAACGTAATTATAATCCCATGCATACTTTTGATAGCTTTGGTATGCTGTACAGTAATTTTGACGGGCAGATAATCTCCTGGTAAGCATCCGGACTTGAGTAGTTCGATTGTAGCTGTAATGGTTTTATCATCTAGGGAATTGCTGCTGTTGCCTTGGCTATCTCGAGTAGACCGTGCCGATGATGGAACGGGTCCCAACCGAAAGCTGAGGCCAGTGCTACTACTGATCGTACTGTCTGTACTGAAAGTGCTTTGGACATCGCTTTGCGCCGGGCTTCGGGGTTGCATTTGGTTATCAAGTATATCCACTTGGCTCACAGAGTCATCCGGCCGCGGTGATGTAGCTTCGGTTGTATCACTAATGGATCTTGTGTCCGCATGTTCGCGGGATGGGGGGTGATCTTTTGGTTTAATGGACTTCTTCCTCTTTGCTCGTCTCGAGATGGGTTCCAGTGATATTGTTCGAGGTCGGGGTGGTCCCAAGGGACCAACATCTACTCTCTCAACCAGCTCAACCTTCCTTTCGCACATCGAGGTCGCAGCTATTGTAGTTGGCCGGGTAATCGTCGAAGAGATCTGATATGATATCGTTCCTCTTTCAAACTAATCACATTCATTAGTCCAAGTCGCATTGGGGTTTGCTCAAAAATTGCCTACATCGACGCTTGTAGGAATACCCTTGGTAGGAAATTCCAGTTCGAAATTAAATCTATATACTCCAGCATCAAGTCTACCTTCACCACATAATATAACTTCATCTTGGAAGAGTGAGCAATAACCATTCCCAAAGTATTGTGACTTCATGGGATTGCCCGAGGCATACGTCACTGTATCTGGCAGAGGTTCGTTCGCGCCATTGGCATTCTTGTAGACGTGAATGAAACCATGTAGGCAGACAGTGAGGTGAGTAATCCGTACGGGTTTGACAACAGTCAATACCACGGCACCCCTTACCAGATCACCCGGTGCATATCGCCGATGAGGTTCAAGTGGTTCGATATGGAAGTCGGTCAGGTTGCGCGTCCGGGACTTCAATGGGGCAGTCAATCTAGAAAACAGAGAGCGACCTGTCGATGCGGTCGGCGACGACTGGGTCGTTGAAGTGACATTCGCGCACATGCTAATATAATATATGATATGTTTCGCGGTGCCAAGTCTTAAATCGTGTCTGCCAAGTACTGGGAAGGAATTGACGGAAAGTCGCACGCAGAATATTGGCAGAACTGCGAATTCCGGGCGACTGCGGGGGAAACAACGACAGTTGCCAATGCTAAGTCGTTATAATAAGAAGTGAATCAAGATGCATGGCAAATCCTTGAGTGTGGAAATTGAGTAGTAAATAATAGTAATAGTAATAGTGTAATAATAAATGGTAAAATAATAAATATATAAATAAATATGAATATAATAGTGAATCGAAATACGAATGGGGTTTCGTTGATGAAGGATAGTTGGGTCAATCAATCAATAATGATGGGTTGACTGGTAATAAGAGACGGAAAATCGGGAAGACTAATGGTTTTAGGTCTCTGATATTCTTGAACCTGAGACTTAATGACTTTTTCTCTCTTATTAGAAGGAATATGGGGATTTTTTGTGAAATTGTGATTTGTGATTTGTGATTTGCAACCAGGATTTGCAATCTTCTTCAATGAATAGAGGAATGAGTGAGCGGGTGAGTGAATGAGTGAATGAATGAACGTTTTGTCGGTCAAAACTCAAAAGATTTCAAATGCACCTAGTAACTTTTTCGTACAAAGTACCTAGGTAGTTACTCGCAGTAGTTCCTCAGATTAGAACTTGTCAATGTTTTACCAATGTCCATAAATTGTCCGAGTCCGAGAGAGTAGGTAGGGTACTAGGTAGAGGAGGGAGCGAGGTAGCGAGGTAGCGAGGTAGGTAGGTAGGTAGGTAGGTAGGTAGGCAAAGTATGAGGGTAATAAGGGTAATGAGGGTAATCAGAACAATAAGCACAACGAGAGTATAATGATTATTGTACGTGTATAGGAATGGTACCCAGGTAGTTGCTAGGTACTAGGTATTGATTGATATGAAGGGTGGGGGGGACTCAAAAGGGAGAGCAAGCGGGATGCAACTCTTTTTTCTTCATGAGAATGCGAAAGAACCTTGGAAGACCAGGAATATTATCTGGTTGCGGAAGGTTTCGAAAATCGAACTTCTTTTTGGTTTAAACAAAAGTATGTTTTAATTAAGATTCGTGATAAAATTGGGTACAAATCGTGGAAGCCGTGTAGCCCAGACAAATTTGAAGGGGTTCAAGAGGGACCCGGAGAAGGTCCTTACGCGTTGCAGAAAGCTTGAATTTGCTCAGGGGTCCTAGGTCCCACAGTTCACAATGATCCAGTCCACGATATACTTTGGGCGTGCGAATGGTGTGTGGTATGTGGTGTATGGTGTATGGTGGGTATTGGCGTGTATGTATTCGCTGAAACCTGGCAATCTGATACTCTTCTTGCACTTATAAGGCTGAGGGATAAAAGGAGTTGAGTAGCTATTTGAGGAAGAGGTGGTGTTATAATACGTAAGAAAATGCTTAGTAGGTAAGAAGCGTAGAAAATGGTAAGATATGTGTGTCCCTGGTGAGAAGAAGACGAAGAGCAGAATACTCGAGTAAAAAATGTAAAACGGAAGGAAATGAAGGGCATTACATTATCTACCTACCGATGCATACTTGTTCGGCTTTAGGGATATCGGTTTTGGATGATTTCTATCGGGAAGCGGGAGGAGTATATCGGTCCAATGCAAATTCCATGTGTATACAATTGCCAGCCAACCATTTTGTATGTCAAAACATACTAATGAAGGGTGTACAGCATGTAGCATTGTAGCTTTCGGTAACTTTTTGGTAGAAGCGAGTAACGCTCGAGGAACAATTAGTGAAAGGGATGAGTCCAGTAGGGCTGGATTGTTCTAGGCGTCGAGGAAGTGATCAACGTATACGAGCAAACCATATATTGTCCACGTCGCTTGCCATCAGCCAGGCTGCTTGTTCATCATACCGGTACTCTTGCATCCCTTATAGTCTCGTGAGGGACCCAGATACTGACGGTTCATTCGGACTGTAACCTGATTCCATGATGGCATCTTACTTGACACTTTGCGAATCACAAAAGTGTATTATCTTTTTTCATCTCTTTCCGGATCCGATTCTTCCTGGCCTAGCTATAGGCATCCTTCGATTCACACGGGAACTCATCTTTTAGCTTGAGATCTTGCGATGGTTTACTATTCACCATGCATAGCACTATCACGGATTCGTGTTTTCGAGTATGTGCACTCAGCCATATGAAGCAATTTGTATCGAAGCTTGAACCGTTGGAAGAGGTGATAGGGCATCCGAGAAGCGAAAGAGGATATATTTGATGCAACACAATGTCATTTCATCGGTCTATTGGGCTAATTGGTGGATTCCTCGGTGCGGGGTACAATTTGGTTAAATCCCCGAGTCCCGTTTGTGACATTGAAGATTGTTGCCCAGCTGGTCCCTCGAAAATCGCGATTAGCCTAAGATTAGGAAAAAAGCTTGTCTAGTCCTTCCAAGGTATTTTCCCGCTTTGCGCTGCACTTGCATCTGATATGGCAGATTTTTCAAGTGGCCAAGTGGAGATGTTGGGGTTTGCGTACATGTCACATCTGTAACATGAATAATGTTTCATCAACGTATCATCCAGTTTTCGAGTTGGAAATAACAAACGAACAAACAAACAGCTCTCAAGCAATCGAATGATTAAGGTTAATGTTCGGATTGATCAACGGTTTACATCCATGCATACCAAACCACTTGATATCTGATCACACTGTCCTCCACATCATATTTCGTAAAAAGCTGACGACAACAAAACATGAAGCTATACCGGCCAGACCGAGTAACGATAATTGCAAGCCAGTCATACCACTTCCGTCATATTACATTCCGATAACTTGAGATTGTCCATGCAAGTGAAGCTAAGAAGAATCCACTAATTTGGGACCGCTAATTCTTTCAACCCTTCCCCGACTACATAGTCCTCACCACAAGCTCGATACATGATCTCTCCAGCTTGAGCTCGGTCTCCCGTCAAGCTGACCAAGAATGATTCAAGTGATTCAAGGTTGTCGGTCCATCTTAAAGTGCTCTCCTTAAGTTTGTTTGTTTCCTCCGATTTTCGAAAGATCTCAGCAGGATCGTTATCACTGTAGAGAGCCAATTCCTTATCAAGAGCGTCGTTCTCCTTCACAAGAGCCTCATAAGCGTCCATCAAAGCGTGTCTGTCTGATCCACCATCAAGGAGCATTTCATCGTCCTCTTGACGTTTTGTCATTTCCTTTGTAACCTCTTGTTCAGCAACCGCAATTGAAGCCAATAATTTAGTTTCCTCATCCTTCAATTTGTTGATCAGATTTTCTTTGCTCTTCTTGGCATCTGAAGTAAATGACCAATACCAATTGCCACTTCCAATTTTCTCGACTCGGATTAAATTCTCGTCTGTGAGCGCTTGGATGTATTCTTTCACTAGCATGCCATTGATCGAGCCGACAGATGGGAGTAGTTTCTCAAGTTCTTTGAAGGAATAGACTCCCATGGAGGTTCGAAACCACTCCAGAATCTTTGCTTGCTTGGCTGCGGGTGGTAGGTTCTTGGGAGCCTTTATAAATATTAATCATTTTGTTTCATCTATTTTGGTTGACATCTTTGACAGTCAGGGTTGTGCGGAGAAACTTACCATTATCAAGGAGAGAAACAATCGTTGTGACAATCAAACTCTTGTCAAAAGTTCTGTCGGAAAAATCTGTTTCGTAGATGAATCGTAATCCAATCGTAATCCAGATAAAGGTCGGTGATGATTACGACGGTTAATTCTACGCTCAAGGTTGGTGATTGCTTGGGATTGAGGTTTGCAGTCCAGTTCCATGGTCAATAATTAAACAATGTTGGTGAGGAGGGATACTAGGTAGGTGGGTACAAGAAAAATTGAGAAAGGGTTCAAACTTCACCTTTGAAGCACAAATTCCGTTGATACAATCAGGTGTTATATTACCATTGCCTTTAGGAAACTACCTTGGTATTCAATATACTGGGGAAATTACTTTTAATATTGAGACATCGTCAGAGTTCTCTCTCACGACCACCCTACTCATCTACCTAATTATTGATAAGTGCAAGATTATCTACTCTGAAAGACTCAAGGTACTCTACCTAGCATACATAGTAGGTATATAAGATCAAGAGGTATTCAACATACCCACTTAATACCTCCGCAGTCATTGTTTCACCTCCTCTTCTCAACGTGTTCCATGGTTCCACCCTCTTTCTCTATTACCGCCTCTTTCACTGGATTCATCTTGCTAACTTTGGCATCGCTTCCCTCAATGACTAAAGCCACATCTTCCAAACTCGTTCCCTTCGTTTCAGGACAAGCAAAGTACACCACGACAAATTCGACGGCGATCCATGCCACATAGAAGAAATAGAACTTCCAACCAAATCTTGCAAGACCTAACGGGTTCACATAGGTATTGAATGCACCCGCTAAGCCAGTGACTAACCAAAATAGTGAAATACCTTTGGCACGCAACGTGTACGGCAAAATCTCGACCACATAAAGCATCATGGCACCTGTCCATCCCAAATTGTGTACTCCGCTGTACAGATATATAAAAGCAACCGAAGCATAAGAAGCGGATTTTGATCCAGTGTGGGTGAACACGCCAGTAAGGATGGTGATTATTGTAAAGACAAGCCACATTAGACCCATTGACCAGAGCAAAAGAGGTCGACGACCTACTCGAGCGGGTAGAAACGCAAAGCCGACAGAACAAGCAAAGGAGAACATTTGGGAGGTTGCAGTGATGAGGGTTTGTTGGAATGTAGTTGTGATTCCAACGTCGTCGAGCATCTGGAGGTTGTCAGTGGTTTCAAAAAGATTTAACGCGAGGTGTGCTTACTGTATGTAGGTAATAGGATACTACGCCATTTCCTGACCATTGCTTACAGATTCCGAAGAACTATAGATCATTATCAGCATTTAGTACATTTCGCACGAGTTAATCGTTGCTGTGCCGCCTCGAATGAATACAGAATAAAGGATTTGAGGCTCACAATCATAATAAACATTCTCCATTGGTTTCCTTTACCTCTCCACATTTCACTCCACCTCGATTGCTTTGCTGAGATCTCCAACTCGATTGTTCCGACTATCTCCCTGTATTCAAACTGTACAATCTCATCTTCTCTATCTCCATTGGCATGATACTTGGATAGTACATCCAAAGCAGCATCTTCACGACCTTGGCTCACAAGCCAACGAGGTGATTCGGGAAGAAAGAAAATACCAAGTGCCTGGCCGACAGAGGGCAAAGCTTGAAAGATTGAGGGAATGCGCCATGACCATGTGGAGTTCAATCGAAATGTACCTATCTGTTGTTAGTATCTCGCTCTCAACATGTGTAGCCTATAGCAAAACAGCCTACCAAAAGTTACCCAGGCAGCGATTATCGAGCCCATTGAGTATTGGGTGTTTGAGAGCGCAGTGGCGGTTGCACGGTGATCTATTTCCATTAGCTTCTCCCGTTTCGACATCAAATCATACTCGGCTCCTTCCTCAGGAGAACTTACCCGGATATGCAAGTTCTGCTACTAGTACAGGTCCAATGGCCCCAACGACCACTCCTCCAATCCCCAATAGAAGTCTGCCGGCAATAAACATACCAGCTAAGTTTTCATCAGCCTTTATTTCATAACGCTCTTCTGTATCTCCTTTCCATATCTCATTATACGTCTGATCTCCATCTATTCCACCTCTTTCTGGCCACGCGAATATAAGATGAAGCAAACATACCATTAATGGCTCCGGTGCAAAGAGCTGTCCCAAGTATTGCAACCACACTACCAAAGAACAGCGCCATTCTTCTGCCAAATCTATCACTCAGCGGCGTGATAAAGAATACTCCCAAGACATTTCCCACCCAATAACTCGCCGACAAAATACCTAAGAGTGAGCCCTTTGGGTTATGGAATTCTGTTAAATTCCTTCATCAGCCATATTTCTTATTCAAGATGGTTTAATATAGCTCTGTCATGAATAATAAAACCACCCTCTGGATACATATATTTGTTCAACCCCACTACTCCCTCTCATCACCACCGTATCCCAAACAAGAAGATAGCAAAGAGTTACACCAAGCGAACACAAAAGAAAAGATGCTAGTTACCATTCTGCCAACTCTTCAACTGCTGCACGTTGTTAATGAGACTGGCATCATAACCCTGCACATATTCACTCATCAATGGTATCATGATAAGAAGATTGAGTTTGAGCAATCCTCGATCATGCCACCAAGGGCCATGTTTATTCGTTAGATGAGAGGCGGACGCGAGAACATCTCTGTCGACGCGAGGGGCTTTAGTCGGAAACATCATTTTGACCACGATAGAGAGATGCTGAGGAAGATGAGAATGTAAGACCGAGAGATAGTTTGGATAAGCAGATAGGATGTACATAAGTATTATACTTGAATTTACCACGATAGAGCTGTCCCACACCGTCTCTGCATACAAGCCTTGCCAAAGCTGCAATGCTACCTTGCCAGCCCATCTTATCCTATCCTATCCCATCCCGCCGTGCTCTACCACTTCATAGCTATTTTCGCACATCACATCATATCGTATCGTATCAAGGCAATGCGCAAGGGAACTGCAAATCATCCCCACGATAACAAAGTTCACATCCAATAGGGGATACTGCACACTTCGCTTATCGGGGATATTTATCCGGGATTGCGGGGTAGAGCATTTTCAAGCTTCGGCAGGTGATGAACCGACTGGGGGTTTATATGCGAAGGACAGGGGATTGGTGGGATATCTCGGGGGAGATATTCATGCATGAGGGTTTTGGGGTTGGAACCGAGGATCGTTTTCTCGATAGGTATCGGTGTTGCGTGTGTGCATGCACTGGTATCCTGATGGAGGTGGGGATCTGTATGTGTGAATTCAGTTGTGAGCTTTATATCAGTATCGGAGGTCGGTGCAGTGGGACTGTTGTTTTCAAGTTTGTTTCTGAAGTAGATTGTTTGACTTTAATCAGATATTTATCTCACAATGGGACTTCCAGAACCCAGCATTTCTATCCTCGGCCCGGATCCCAAAAGAACACACAGAATCAACGCAAATTCCTTTCAACAAAACGCCATTACCACTGTTGATGGATGGCAATATGTAGCATTCTATACCGATCATCCTACGTCCACAAAGCTGAATGCTTGTATGATGAATCTGGGTAGAAGAAAAGTCTCACCTACGCCTTCGAAGTGGGAGATATTGAGTTTCCATGATTATGAACAGGTGGTTGATGATGGACATAATACGATATCTATTGGTATCTGTAGCGGAGATGGAAGTATACATATAGCATTTGATCATCATTGTGATAGGTGTGTTATTATTATCGGAAAAGGGTTGAGCAGTACTGAGAAATGTTAGATTGAGATTTAAAATTTTGAAACGCATAGATTCTGAAAAACATTCAAAGAATTCTAATGTATGGAATGCATCTCTGTTTTCGCAAACGCAAGATTATCTTCCTGGAATTGCACATAATGAGCTGATGGACGAAGTCACTTACCCTCGTTTTGTGAACACGGGTGATGATTTGTTGTTGACATATCGTATTGGCCAGTATGTATGAATACAACTGCACCTGCACATGAATTTTAACGTGAATGTAGGGCAGGATTAGGATCAGACATTCTTTACCGCTACTCGTCAAAGTCTTTCACTTATACATATTTAGGCCAACACCTTACTGGTGTTTCTAATAGTCCATATATAAATGGTCTTGATTATCAAAATTCGCGACTTTATCTGTCATGGTGTTATCGAAACTTCATCCTTTTCGAAACTTCCACAGCACAGATGCGCATAAACAGCAAGCCGGGCCCAACGGACCCGAGAACAACTATGATCTGAATTTTGCTTATTCGGAAGATGTGGGCAGGACATGGAAAAGTTCGGATGGAACAACCTTGGCCGTACTGGATGGAAAGGAAGAAAACACCATTTTGCCGCAGTCCAAGGCGAGAGTCTTTGAGATTCCCATGGGAAGTGGGATCTTGAACCAAGAAGCTCAAGCGGTGGATCGGAAGGGCAATTTCTGGGTTTTGAATAGGGGAAATTCCGCGGGCGAACAGCAGTGGATACTTTATCACCGTGATTGTACAGGTAAAGCCACAATTCTGATCAAATTATGTTGACAACTTTGGACTAAAAAATATTAGGGTTTTGGACAAAGAACGCTGTCCCAACTGATGGCATAAACAAGCCTACCGAAATTGGCTCGAGAGGAAGCATATCTGTTGACAGCAAGAATGACGTATATCTCGCTTTGCCTGGGAATACAGATTCCACCCTCAGCATCGTGAAAGTGCACAGTAAGGACGGACAAGTATTCTTTGATCTTGCATGGAGTGCATCAGGATTTGATGGCGAGCCTTCAGTCGAGATACAAGAGGTGGAAGGAGGAGGTGAGAATCTGTCCATCTTTACAAGAACGGACAAAAAAGAGGATGGACTTCGAGATGTAGTTGTCTTGGATTTTGACCTCGATTCCAAACCGATCTAGATAGACTTCTAAAAGCAGTTCATGATAGGAACGAATGTATCCCCTTCACCTGGACATGTGTCATGTCCCGCCTTCAGTTGCTTGCAATATGTATATCGTGTAGATGATCACGGGTAAGATTGAATAAACCTCTGTTTCAAGAATCGAAACATCTTCCCTTCATAATTCTTTATGGGTACGCTTCAAATTAACTTTCGCATCTACTCTTCGCTCTTTCGCTGCGCGAACGTCATTGTAAAACGTCGGCAATAAATCATTGTAGAATCTTAAATATATGCCTGCCTAGTATTCATCACATCAGAGACATCCTATTCGGCGCGGGTGATCCCGAGTACCCTGAGTTGTTGCTGCCCGTGGTATTTTCGGGTCCACGCAGACAACATAACACTAAAGGATCTGGCATAAGTTGTTCTGACTATCCTGTAAAGCAATGTGGTGCTTATACACAACGAGCGTCCTCTTGCTCTACTAGACGTTCTTTTTTGAACGCATTTTCCATGCATACTCGGCACATTTTGTGTAGAAACGAAAACAGAGATAGTGAAGGTTTCATTGGAGAATATTTGGTTTTGTACTGCGCCAAATTTTTTCCAAGCAAGAGCTGCTTAGTAGATAGCTATGAAGGATCTCGGACGGCCGAGAAAGATATGTATGAAAGATATGTATGACTACGTTGGAATGTGATCAAGATATTCCAGCACGGGAAACTGACCAAAAGTGGAAGGTGGAGGATATATTGACGCCTCAGTCATGAAGAGCATTGCCCCACTTCACATGCACAATGGTTAAGGTCGCATAGAGAAAAAACGTAGAATCATAAGGACAAACAAAAGACGACGGGGACAGCAAAACTCAACTCTGATGGATCAATGACTTGCACATCGACATATTACGAGATCTTAGACATCCCGTCGTCTCTTCAAAATGCAACACACATTCCGGTAGCAACTTTGCGAAGCGCATATCGACGCGCACTTCTTCGAAATCATCCTGACAAATCTCAAAGCCAAGAACAAGGTCATACAAACAGACCCCAAACGCTATATACTATTGATCAAATATCCGTGGCTTTCTCTCACCTATCGGACTCCAAGCTACGAGCACAATATGACAAGGAATTGAGATTGCAGAATCGCTCTATAAATGGGGCAGGACAAAAGGAAGGAGGAGTTTTCCGAACGGGTGTTGAAGTTGTCGATTTGGATGATTTGAATGTCGAAGAAGAGAATGGTATATGGTATAGAAGCTGTAGGTGTGGAGATGATCGAGGGTTCTTAATTCGAGAGCAAGATTTAGAGGAGGCAGCTGAAGATGGTGAGATCAGTGTGGGATGCAAGGGGTGTAGTCTCTGGCTCAAAGTTCTTTTTGGTGTGATGGAGGATCTGCCAGACGATAAGGGATCGGATGCATAGATGCAGGATAATAAAGGACAATGTAATCAGTGGTACCTGGTTTGTTGTCAAAGGCTGGAGCACAATGTGAAGGCTCGACAATGGAGAGCTTCGAATAAAGAGTCACCGAGTTCACCGGTCAAAAGGAAAGAGCTAAAGATTCGAATAAAACGTTGATTTAAATAGCATTGGGAAGCTTTCAAAGCCATGACAGATGAGGATACCTTGCTTCCCCTTACTTATAACTGTTACGAGCTGCTACGAGCATGCATGGATATCAATGTCGATATCTATATAGATATTGACTTGGCTTGCGTCCAAAAGAATGTACCGTCTTCCTATGACTTCCAATCAAAGCTCGAAAGCTATTGGTCGCCTCAAACCTGCGGTGGTTGTAAATCTTCTTCTTGCAACAACCAAATTAAACCTTGACAGTCAATATTGGAGCACGTCAACATATCGTAGGAGAAAGACCGATGTCATGTTGTTCGAACCGTTTAAGTTGCTTGAAGAAGGAAGAAAAAGAAGAGCGCGAAAAGAAAAGTTTTGTGAGTTTTGTGTAATGGTTAAATGGAGAACATCGCCTAATGCGGTTTAATGCAATTCCAACCTTCCTCACCGCTCCCCAAAACAGCAGCCGGATAAACAAATCAATGATGAGTATGATGATTTTTGAAGATATATCCTTGTACGATTAGAAGAGCACGAGATTGTTCGGTGCCACTCTTACTTCTCAAGTTCGAAATCTCACATCTCACTCGCATTAGTGAAGGTTGACAAGCAGGTGCTTTAACCTTAGCCTTTTCCCACCTTTGATATTGAATCATCCTTCTCGTCCTAAACGGCATCACCTGGCCATTCCTGTGCACTTTCTGCCACTGTACTTACTGCCATCTATCCACTGGCACTCATCAAAGCTTTTGCTTGCAGACCCAGAAAGACCCCACCTTCCTCAATCGTTGGTAGTTCGATCATTCCTTCCCAGTCATTTCGATTGTCCATTCTTTGCCCAGGTTGCAAAGGTGGTGCGTGTCATATTTGTACATACGGCAAAGCATAGCATAGCATAGCATACGGCGTTGTGTGTGTGTGTGTGTCGGTATTTTGTAGCTTCCCTCACTTCTTGCTTCGATGTCAATGCGTATCTCCAATACCCTTACATCCTCCTTTACTCGGCCTCCAGCCAGTGTTTTCCTTTCCTTAAGTAGAGCACAAAGAAGATTACCAATTGTTAGCAGAACCTTTCAAAGTCTTTCAATTAGTTCATATCGAAGTTCAGCTTCATTGTATGTTATACCCCGCCATTTCTTTCATTCCGTGGAGCTCTTTCCATTCATTGTACAAGTTTGAATATCTACCCTCGTGATACCTCAAGCAAGTCAACTGAGGCAAGATCAACACAGTTAAACCCAAATTTGCTTTTGATTTATTCACTATCATCTTAGTGCGCAGTGTTCATAAGCTCACCGATTATTCGAATTTAGACTCAGTCCTTCAAAAAGCCGCTCCCAATTATCAAACAACTTTCGAAATACAACTTTAACCACCTCGGCAATCCGCCATTGTTCATATAGAAGACACAAGATGTGTAGAGGTGTACATGCCGGAGAGGAGGTAGAGAGCGCAGGAATGGATGTTACCAAGGGAAGAGAGATCTTGCCAGCAAATGTCATTCCAAGACACTACGATCTCACATTAGAGCCGGACTTCAAGAAGCACACCTACGAGGGTACCGTTATAATCGATTTAGATGTTGCTGAAGATACTACTTCCATTTCCCTAAACACTTTGGAGCTTGAGATACACAGCACAAAAGTCACCTCTGGATCTGAAGCTATAAGGTCAGTGATTGATTGAAAAGCCTGTTGTGATATGCTTCCTCGACAAATCTAACATTCAGTAGCTCTACTCCAGATGTCTCTTACAATGAGGACAGCCAGACCACAAAGGTTGCCTTCAAGCAAACCATCCCCAAGGGAACAAAGGCACAAATCGAGATGAAGTTCACCGGCCAGCTCAATGACAAGATGGCAGGATTTTACAGATCAACATACAAGAATGCGGATGGATCCGAGGGTATCCTGGCCACAACACAAATGGAACCGACTGATGCCCGAAGAGCTTTCCCTTGTTTCGATGAACCTGCATTGAAGGCAGAATTCACAATTACTTTGGTCGCGGACAAGCACCTCACCTGCTTGAGCAATATGGATGTTGCTTCGGAGACTGAGATCGAGGGAAATAAGAAGGCTGTCAAGTTCAACAAATCGCCACAAATGTCGACGTATCTTCTCGCCTTCATCGTTGGAGAGCTCAACTATATCGAGACCGACAAGTTCAGAATTCCGGTCAGAGTTTATGCTCCTCCAAATCAAGACATCGAGCACGGAAGATTTTCATTGGATCTTGCAGCACGAACCCTGGAGTTTTATGAGAAGACTTTTGATAGTCCATTCCCTCTACCAAAAATGGTAAGTTCTTATATTAGTTTTCATACTCCTAATGTTCTAACTGTGTTCGTAGGATATGGTTGCCATACCGGATTTCTCCGCTGGTGCCATGGAGAACTGGGGCTTGATTACTTACCGTGTTGTTGATCTCCTGTTCGACGAAAAGACCAGCGGTGCGTCTACAAAGGAACGAGTTGCAGAAGTCGTCCAGCATGAGTTGGCTCACCAATGGTTCGGTAACTTGGTTACAATGGATTTCTGGGATGGTTTGTGGCTCAACGAGGGTTTCGCAACATGGATGTCATGGTATTCCTGCAACATCTTCTATCCAGAATGGAAGGTATGGCAAAACTACGTGACGGATAACCTGCAAAGCGCCCTCGGTCTCGATTCTATTCGAAGCAGTCATCCAATTGAAGTACCAGTCAAGCGAGCCGATCAAGTCAACCAGATCTTTGACGCTATTTCATATTCCAAAGGTTCTTGTGTCCTTCGCATGATTGCAAGTTATTTGGGAGAAGATGTGTTTATGGAGGGTATCCGTCAATATTTGAAGAAGCATGCTTATGGTAACACACAAACCGGTGATCTTTGGGATGCATTGAGTAAAGCGAGCGGTAAGGATGTCTCGGCAGTCATGGACATCTGGACAAAACAGGTCGGATATCCTGTTGTAAGTGTTACCGAGAACGAAGATGGAAAGAGCATCCACGTCAAGCAAAACCGTTTCTTGCGAACAGCAGACGTCAAGCCTGAAGAGGATGAAGTTTTGTACCCGGTTTTCTTAGGTCTCCGCACTAAGAGCGGTGTTGATGAGGAACTTGTTTTAGATAAGCGAGAGGAGACTATTCAGGTCCCTGCAGATTTCTTCAAACTAAATGCAGACCATACTAGCATTTATCGAACATCATACACTCCGGAACGACTCGAAAAGCTAGGTCAAGCTGCCAAGGAAGGCCTTCTTACCGTTGAAGATCGTGCAGGAATGATCGCAGATGCAGGAGCTCTCGCTTCAGCTGGATACCAGAAGACTTCCGGTGTTCTAAACTTGTTCAAGGGCTTCACCAGTGAAACCGAGTTCGTTGTTTGGACCGAAATCCTCGCCCGTTTAGGCAGTATCCAAACTGCTTGGGTCTTTGAGGACGAGAAAGTCAAAGAT